CTCTGTTAAATTTAATAAATCCTGTTTTCATGGATGCCTGGACGTTAAACTTCATAGTTACACCTGGTAAAGCAGCAACGCTGATCATTTTATTACAGATGAAAGAATTTAGCCAGTTTTTAACTCTCAGTGATGTTCGTTTGACTTTGGGACATGAAGCGGACGGAGTTTAGGACCCAGATTACTCCCAGATTTACGAGCACCTTAGTCCGACAAATACGGCAATAGCGACGGCCGCTTGCATGTTCTACAAAAAACTGTGCTTTGTTGTGTATCTGATGGACAAACACCAAACCAGTTCCAATTGGCACCATCTTTACAAACTAATTCTGGTTCATCCGTTTCACTCAATGATCTGCCATGCTTTTACGGCCATGTGCGTATGACAACAAAGGCACTGCGCATGTGCGTTTTACCCAAATTCTATCGCGATATTTCATTTTCTTATCGTTGCCTAACATTGTACCGGTGTAATATGGCCCAGCCCTGGTGACAATTAAAGGATTCTTCTACTTGATTTATCGATGGAACCGAGGACAGATTAATCGATTACTAAAACCTTCGATAGCTGCAGCCCCAACCTAATCCACCATGAACCCCCCTCTGCACCGCACCACGAGGATCCATGTGTTGTGTGGAAGCTCAGCTCCAAACTGCATCTACCAGTAAAACTATTACTATACAAAGGCGTACACACTGATCACTTCTTCAGTTCAGGTTCGGACAGTTCCCTCATTCTCTCTGTGCGTACAAATGTGCACCAACTGCCTGTTATGCACAGATCACATGGCAGCGTGGGGAGACAGATTTCATGCTGCCAGCTTCACACACATCCACAAATGTAAGCTGCATTCAAGACCCAGTGTAAAACTGGGACATCTGGGCTTCTTCTAAACAAACAGAACGACCAAAGGACAGATTCATGGTTACAGACAGCACACAGTACCCTGTGAAGGTTAGCTTATGGTTTAAATAAGCTGCTGCTACATGCTAACATGTTCAGGGTTAGTCATTAAGCTAATATTAGTGTTAGCCTGCGGTTATTAGATGACAGTAATCTTTTATAGTGTCTGTAACTGGTAACAAGCACAACAACAACGATGTCCACTTTTTTTGTGGAATCCATGTCACATATCAATTTCACCACGGGACGCTCGGCCACGTTGCTATGACGACAACCACACACGTTAGCAGAACCAGATTGTAACGGAAAACCAGTCGATCCGAGTCGAGTCACGGCGATCTGTGGTGAATCGATCCAAATAGGAACTTAAGCCCAGAACTGGGACAAGAACACAGCTTACATTTGTGGATCTGTGTGACGCCGGCAGCATGAAATCTGTCTCAGAATCCGACGCAGGCACGTGATCTGTGCGGATCAGCCGACTGGTGCGCTCATGTTTTAGGGTTTGTAAGTGATGGAGAGGAGCGTTGCATGCAGTAGACAGCTGATGCAGAGAAAGACAGACTGCTGAACTTCCTAAACTGTGCGTAAATGATCAGCATATAGTTTCACGTGTGGTCAGATTGCTTCATATTTGTGTGGATTGAAGCATGTGCTCAAAAGTTACACACAGCTCACTGCACGTGGCTCGTGCTGTAACCATTGAGGCTCATTTTCTCCATACGTGCTCCATGTTGGTGTTTGTTGCACTGAAAAAGGAAATGATGAGAACAGTACGTTCTGCAGCACTTCAGTTTTGAGTTTCAAACACTGTTTAGATTTGAATCTACGAGGCACCAACCTCTGCTCCATTTACACATCCAGATGAGATACATCTGCACTCAGCAGCTATGCAGAGGGAGCGTGTGACATCACACACTGCTAACATGGCAGCCTAATGCTTTATTGTTATTACCAGCAACATTAATCGCATGTCAGCGAATAAAACATTAGCAACCTGACAACAACATCTCAGCTGCAGACCTGCTGTACAGCGCATCGGGCATTTACAAGCCACCCAGTCCAAACGTCATCCACCTACCCTCACATCTCATGTGATGAAGGTGATGTAGAGACTCGTCTTTGCTCACAAAGACACAAAAACAAAT